TTTTATTAAGAATGAGGTTAGTTAAGAGAATTGATTTTCCCTTAAATTTTGAGGTAAACCAGAACTATTCAACATAAAATTCATCATTTCTTCAAGAGTACGATTTTTGTGTTCAGCAACACCATTGGATTCAGCAACATCATATTCTAAACAATTTTTTTCAAACGGTGTTCCATATTATCCAACTATATCGCTAAGAATAAATTTTATTTGTTTCCTAAGTTAATTCTCAACTTCATTCTTATATTGTTTAAATGTTTCTAAGACCTCGTCTTTATTTCTTAGCAAATAGACATAACAATATCTTGTGAAATTATCTATAGAATTAATAAAGCTTTTATCACACACCTCTACTTTGCACAAAGTTTAATCACATATATCAATGTGAATTAATTTTAGAGCATTCTAGTTCCTTTTAGCCGAATAAAAAAAAAAGTATTTTGGCTAACATAGCCTCTATACAAGTTTCATACCAATGATTTTGATCAAAAGAAATAGAAGACATTAAATATAAATTTACTAATTTTGTAAAGTATTCATATTAACATGTCATAATCTATCATGGCATATATTAGAAGACTCAATAAAATAAGCAAGGGATTTATTTTTATTAATATCAAAATCATGAAGTGTAGACATTACATTCATTTTGAATAGCACATCAACTAAATACGTCTTGCCCACAAACATGCCATTTTTGGTGAGTATAAACTTATCATATTCAGTTACTAGCTTAAACCCATTTTTGCTTAGCATAGCTCCAGATTCCAAATTCTTGTGAATGTTCGAAACATTTAACACATGATGAGGGTTATTACTTCTTTTCCCGACATCATCCTCAATAATATTTTGTCCAAACCAATGGTGTATAAGATATTGTTGAAGAATTGAATCAAAATGGGGAAAAAAAAAGTGCAGAGAGAACATTCGAATTCCAATTTGGGCTCATAACATCATTTTGGAAAGAGGACAACAATACTAGTAAAACATATTGCTAAGCCATGACATCATACGATGGATTTTGGCCATCCGAGTTCATTTAGGACTCGAAAACTATAAGGTTTTAGCAATATTTTTTGTTATTTAGCTTATTTCGAATTCTTTTTTAATTTTAGTTTACTTAAATTAGGTTTTCATTAATTTTAGTCCTATTAAACTATGTGTTCAAGTAAACCCTAATGAATAAAGGGTTATCTCATTGTTTTTTATTATCTTTCATTAATAAAATTCATGAGTTCAATTTTCATAATTTGGTGGATTCCAAAATTCGTGTTCTTAAAGTTTTCGCTTAAATTTCTTGTTTCGCGCTGCGTCAACCAACAACTTTTGATGTCATTGGTTGCTCATGAACAATTGTCCTTCGTTGATAGAAATTTTAGATAAAAACGTCTTCTTATCAGTACAAACGTGATGAATAACACCATTGTCTATGAACCGATCTCTCGAATTGTCCATCATGTTTGCTTCAAATACAGTAGGTAAGAGCATTACTTCAGACACACTGTTAGACAATTGTATTCCTTGAACAAGTGCACTTGGTCATTGTTGTTATGCCTTTTTTTTTTTTTTGACGATCCTTAGTGATATGACATGTCTTACTGCAGTTATACCATTCTCCTTTGAATTTTGTGATCTTGATCTTTTACTTGCCAATATGAGAGTGATTCATTTTCTTATTAGTATTTGGTTTTACCAAATTGACTTCAAGCTCCATTTACAGCCTTTTAGACATTTTCTTAGAATTCAGATTGTCTTCCTCAATTCTCAATCTTATAATAAGATTTTCAAATCTCATTTCCTTGCATTTGGGTTTTAAATAGTTCTTGAAATCTTTCCATATTAGTGGTAATTTTGGGTAATCGCAGCAACTTTAAAAAACTCGCTAAGCTTTATTCCCTTAGCGTGCAGATGCAAGACAATTTGTAGCTTTTGAACTTTGATTTATCACTGTTTTAGAATCCAACATTTTGAAATCTAAATAGTTTTCAACAATGAATTTCTTGTAGTTTAGCTGTCTTGATCGAACTGTATACACTGTATAATCTGTTGTCAAGGCAGTTGAGGGTGTAATTTCGCATAAGATATCACTGTGACTCCATGCACAAAATGATACTCGCCTTTTAGGATTTTTTTTTTTTCCTCCTCATTGCAGTTGGAGTATCTTCACTTCAAAATTTTGTTAAATTCAGAGTTGTAAGATAGAACGACATCTTTTGTTACCATCTCTTAAAATTCAATGTCACGACTTTTTCAAACTTCTTCACCATGGGATATAGAATTATTTGTCATAATCTAAAAGAAGAAATCAAAACATAAATTAGCCCTTAAATAAAAATCATTGTCTTAAGATTATTGAGAAAGTAATGAATATATTGAATTTACCGTGCTTTATAATAGTTGAAAAGTTGTGTTCAATAGACACAATTGTTGAAAAGTTATGTCTTGAACATACAACCTCAACTGTTCAGTTTAATACATTTTAACAGGAAATCGTTAGTTTCTAGAAGACATCGCATATCATGCCCACAAAAATCAGGTGATAAATTATATTTAATAAAATAATATATTAGTAGTCCAAGTCATGACCTGTGTCGAACCGATCAAACATTGACAACAACGAGCACGGGCTTTGGTTTAACCTACTAGGATGTTGGTCATATAAAATGATTTAAATCTTCTAGATTTCCTATGTCGGATTAACATTTTTTGTATTTTTCACCATTTTTTATTCTCAATTTATTTCAAATTCAAATGACATCTTTTGAAATTAATTTCTCATTCACCCGAAATTGATTTTGAGAAAATAATATATTATGTTAATCTACTCGAGGAGTAGAACACACTTTGCCGAAAAAATATTTCCTCCGACTATTGAATCCACTCAAATAATTAGTCGAAAGTCAATCAAACCAACTTTAATTTCCAACATTATGACCCTCATTTCTCTTACGCACTAATTAATGAAATTATATTTTTCCTAAAGAAATTCTTTTCTATCAAGTATTTAACATCAAAATATGAAATATTATATAGTAAATTACATACTACAATTTTTATTGAAAATTAATTGTTAGTTTTTGATAATTTATTTTTATTGCCCATATTCATTAGATTTAGATAAATAATTTTAGTTGCTATTTTATATTAGAACTAATGAAAATCTTTATTTAAAGTATTGAATTCAAAAAGGGGGGGGGGGGCAAGGACCCACCCCCCGCCCCACCTTAAACAGGTAACGGGGCGAGGACGGGACTAGGAATTTCTTAGCCGGGCGGCCCTCCCCGCCCCCGCCCCGTTGCCATCCCTACTTATTACCATTACACAAAATTGAATAATGCTCCTTGAATAAGGGTAGTTGACGGAGGGAGGTGACGGGTGGGTGTGGCAGCATCTGGTTGGGAGTTGTGTTGTTTTTTTTTCCCCCAAACAATCATGTATTGACACGTGTTCCCTCCCTTCATCATTGAGCTTGTTATCGTAGCATAGCTCCACAAATTTTTCTCTATTCTAAATGCAAACATTTTCTTAATTAGCTGTGGGCCCGAAGGCCCATTGCTGATTGGCTAATAAACCTAATTAGATATTTGGAAATACATAGTTTCTGTTTTTGTCTTTGCCAACAACATAATGCCTGATAAAATTTAAATCAAATAAATGAATTTGAATAAGTAAAGTATTTATGATTTCGATTTATATTGATCTGAAGATAAAATTCAAATATAACCAGCCAAACCTCCGATATATCTAAATAATTATGCTACATGTACATCTAGTTGACACTTTGATTGATATTTCATGAAGTGGCAGACAATCTGATCATGGAATCAATGACCAAATTTTTTACAAATCATAGGATGTCAACAAAGTGTACAAAATCAACGTAAAAGTGGCTCAATGAGTCTAAAACATATAATAGAAATCTTTGTTCAGTTTTTACTTCTTTTAGTACTCAACCATCAAGTCAAGATGGCTAATTATTCCAGCAATTTATTATCTTTTCTTTAACTAACTAAAAGAGTATTATCTATTACAAATAAATAATAATATGATGATTTCACTTAAGTTCAGGTAATATTTCAAATTGGTAATTCAAGTATTTTTATGACTCAAGTAATTACTAAAAATAAACAATGTTACATGATCGATCGCTTCTTTAGTGGCATTAAGTTCGGATTCGAATCTAAGAAAAAAAGCCCTCACATTTGTTCAATCTAAAGTTCAAATTGTTCCCTTTTAAGTACACTAATCCTATTTTTTATTATCGATAAACAGTCAAAAGGTCGCAATAGTGATAAAATAGACCTAGTTGGGAAAAACAATGTCTTAAATAGTGATTTCTAGGAGAATTTTTGAATATACGTGTAAAATATTTTATTTTGTGAATGTATGATTGAAAATGAATACGTATAATTTATTTTTCAAACAGGGTTTAATGGTTTCAATGGTGTTTATTGATGTGGAGGTCTAACAATTACTATATCAGGTATCTTGTTAATCACGTTAACAGCATGACTAATCATATTGGATTAATTAACTTTGTGACAGGATGATGAATTGAATGAACAATTTGAAAAAAACATGTTCAAACTTCACCCCAAACAGGATTAAAATCATAAATGTTTATGAAGATTTATGAAATAGATGATTAAAATTAATTATTGATTTTGATTTAAATTAAAATCTAAATTTTAATCATATCAAACATCTTTTCATTGCAAAAATGATACAAAAATATTTTACAAGTGCTGAGATAACATCACCTCTGATTGACTGACTATTTTAATTACGTCTTTTTTTTGGCTCAAATTCAATAAAATATTGCCATGTTACAATTTGTAAAAAAATCTCTCTCTACATGTGATGTAGGTTTCTTAAGCCAAACGCCTCTCTCTCCTCAGCTCGTGCATTTACATAACATTCTTCCATCCACTTCTTGAACTCGGTAAGAAAACGGCCCACCTCCTCGCCACCGCCACCACCAACGAAAGAGGTTTTACATAATGAGAACCAGCAACCACCTATTAGGTTTCCTCAACTTCCTTACCTTCCTCCTCTCCATGCCCATCCTGGGCGGCGGAATATGGCTGAGCAGTCGCGCCAACAACATCGACTGCTTGAAATTCCTCCAGTGGCCTCTCATAGTGATAGGCGTCTCCATCATGATCGTTTCACTCGCGGGCTTCGCCGGCGCGTGCTACAGGAACACCTTCCTTATGTACCTGTACTTGTGGGTTATGTTCGTGATCATAGCCACCATTATTGGATTCGTCATCTTTGCTTATGCTGTAACCGATAAAGGGTCCGGGCGGCCCGTGATGAACCGGGTTTACACGGAGTATTATCTTCAGGATTACTCGGGTTGGCTAGAGGAGCGCGTGACAAGTCCGAGTTACTGGAGTAAGATCAGTTCTTGTATTAGAGATTCCCATGTGTGCAATAAGATGGGAAGAAGTGTCGGGGGAGTTCCTGAGTCGCCGGAGTTGTTTTACCTCAGAAAGCTCAGTCCCATCGAGGTAACAATATTAATTCAACTTGTTGTTTTCCCTTTTCTTTTCTTTAATTATAAGTATGTTGTACCTTGTTTCTTTCCCAGAAATAAGCATGTTTTCAAGCATTATTAATTGCCGGTAACGTGCCCCATACTTGTTCACATGGTCAGATGGCTTAGTCAACTAGATTTATCTTACATGAGAAGATGGGAACAAGCTGTCAAATTATTTTTGAAGTTAGGGGTGTTTTCATGGGTGAATATTATATTAATTTGTGGTTTACGGGCATCAAAGGAAAAATAAAGAGTAATCGTATTTATATAGCACCAGTTTGAATGACAACTAATTTAATTAAAATGAATTTATTATTTAATATCGTATAGGTGCTATTTCAATCTATAAATCTTTTGCATTACCTTATTCTTGAATTCTGTGTAGGGGATTTTTTAGTGTTGCTTTCTAATCATATTTAGTAATTGTTTGGTACAAATTAAAATCAACAATTAATTTCAATCACATATTTTTATAAGACCCACAACTTTTATTAAAATCTACTAAAATATTGATTTTAATCCCAACCAAACAAGGACTTAGTCTCATGACTAACATATATTATGCACGCTTTTCACGTGCGAATGGTATTAATGAAATAGTATATTAAGGCAAATGGTTGTAGGATTGAGATTTCTGAGGTCTCTGTCTTACTTTCTTTTCACGTGTGAATTTATTAAAAATGTCATATCAAGACAATTTGAACAGCACTCTATTGACATCACGAACTTTATGTGGTTGGGTTTTGGTCGATCAATACACTATGATCTCCACAAATTAACATTTGATTGAGTTTAATGTCTCTAGCAAAAACTTGTCGGCCCGTACTCAGCTCCACAAACTATTTTCTCCTTTTCAACATTTGATTGATATTTAGGTTTGAGACCACGTTTCACTTTGGAATACTGTATTACCTTTGTAATTTTCTTAAATTTATTTGATTTTTTTTATATTTCTAACTTGTTTTTGAAACTCAAGAGACACGAGTCCGGTTTACAATTTAAACTTTAAGTGATGCGGCTCATGCTAACATTTTCCATCAGCGTCAAGTTACACTCTTTCTTTAGACAAGCCTAGAGAATCAAAACCAACCCAAACCCATCATTGACATCACCCGCTTTTATACATTGTCCTTATAATAATATGCAGTTTTGCATTGTCCTTATACATTGCAAATATAAATTTTTTCCCTGATGATGTGGAGCGTACCAAACTAAGAGTACTCATATTCATAACATGATATTTTTGGCCTTTTTTGACGGATGATCCTGGAAAAAGAATGAATCAAGGTGATACCACTCAATTATCCTACACGAAGGATTATAGTTACATTATATTGCTGATGGGTTCTAATGGAGATATTGCATGTATGTGGGATGACTAAATTATCTTTTGCCCTTGTTAGTGTAGTCCGGATGTTGCAAGCCGCCTACAGCATGTGGGTATGTGTACATGAACGAGACATATTGGAACCAGCTGGGAGGAGAGCTAGTCGGAGCTGATCCAGATTGTGTCCGATGGAACAATGATCAAGAGCAACTGTGTTACAATTGTGACTCGTGTAAAGCCAGCGTATTGGCAAGCCTGAAGAAAAGTTGGAGGAAAGTATCTGTGATCAATATTGTCATATTAATCCTATTAGTTATCCTATACGTTATAGCTTGTGCAGCGTTTAGGCACAACAAACGGATGGACAACGATGAAGCCTTTGGCGAGACCCGAATGGAAAAGGCACAACCTAGTAGGATACATTTCTAACAATAAACAAGGAAGTAAATTTTCATTGCATTTTCTTGGATTTTGTTTAAGATGAAAAGACTAGTACTTTGTATGCTTTCCCTTTACTTTTCAGGAGAAGTTCGTGTGTATTTTAGTGTAAATTGTGGGATCCTTTCACTTTATGTAACTTTTTCTCCTTTGAAGAAATAAAAATGGGTAATTAGCAGAAATGGTCCTCAATATTTACACTCTTTGCTAAAATAGTCCCTATCGTTTTAAAATTGACATTTGTACCCTTATTTCAAACGTTTCTTGTTGAATTGGTCATTCCATCCATAAACTGTTAAACATTCGTTAGAACATTTTGGTAATTTGCAAAAATGGTCCCTATCAAATATAATTTTGGAATGGCCCGTTTCAACGAGTGGTAACTTTCGCTACGATTGGCCGTTCATACGCCGTTAAGGATAGGAGAAACTAGATCATGAACACTTTGAAATGGTATTAAAAAT